GCACACGAAAGCTCATACCAATTACCAACTTAGTTGGTCTCTAAGGTGCTACTGGAAGGAATTTTTTTATTTTGTTTCGACTACAGCAGACCAACACAGCTACCTACCTGTAACTACATCTCAGTATAGATTTTGTGATAAGATAAGGTCAGGATTCACCTAGTGAGCCTGTCAGCCAAAGCCGTCCACAAGGACTTCTGCTTGTGTGAGGGAGCTCTCCACTCTCTCCCCCCCCCCCCCGTGTCCCTCCTTGAAATTAGCTTGGGAATCTGAGAAGCCCCAGAACAGTGTGCAGAGGGAGGAGAGCGGCATCATAGCTATCCGCTATTCTGCTGGAGGTGGTGGTGAGGAAGAGCAAATGAGCCTCATTTACTGCCCACCGTGCTGCTTCCATTTCTCTTATCTGCCATATACATGGGTGCATTCTGCACTTACATGAAGATAGATAGATGATAGAGTGGCTTGATAACTGGGGTCACAGAGCCAAGCAATTTCCTATTCAGGTCACTGTATTGTCCATAACTACAATGCTTGAGTGGGGCCTGCCATGGCTACTAGCATAATCAGTAAATATCCTGCTCTGATGGTTCCCTTGATAGCTCATACGCACACTCTCTGAAACAAGATATCTCGAATCCCAACTTTTCCTCTACTTGGCGGGCTACGAACATTTGTCCCATTCCCACTCTTCATGTTTAGTTTCCCCAAAACTGGCTGTTAAGATTCTCTTTATAGTGGAAGCCCTGCGCCACATGCCACCCTGCTGCACTCTGCATGAAGAATTATGTAACTGCCCTCAGGCTACTTGCCCCTTTCTTTAAGTGTGTTTTCATAAGGCAAGCTTTCATCTCTGCTTTATGATCAGCGCAGAGCAGGCACAGCTAACCTGTGGCCCTATGGATGCTGCTGAGTGACAGTTTCCATGCCCTTAGCATTGCCTGTGCTGGTTTTGGCTGATGGGAGCTGATCTCCCAACAACCTCTGCAGGGCCAAAGGTTAGCCACCTGGCGGAGAGATTTAGAGACTTCTGACAACTTGATAAATAACTGCGCCAAAGGGTCATTTATACATCCATGTGCAATGTGTATCTGACAACCAAGGATCGCACTCCTTGCATCTGACAAAATGACCCCAAGTCCACAAAGCTTATGCCGTAATGAAAAACTGTTAGCGTTTAAGGCATCACAATACTTCTCTGTTGTTTTAGGAAGGAAAAAAGTCTTAACTGCGCCCAGTTGCTTTTTAGTTTTCAGGTGCTGCAAAGATGCCAAAATGAGGTTCCAAAAACCATATTAGAACCATGTCTTCAATTAGGCCAGCTGAAATAGTGTGCAAACTCTTGAGTTCTCAAGAACTCTTCATCAAGCCACGTGGGGAACAAATTAAGCAGTGAGCCTCCTGGGCTGATTTTATAATACAGTTCCATGGATCTGTTGTGTATGCTCCAGTGCTCCCCTCCTCTCTTCCCAACACAAATGCTCTTGTACACGTTGTAAATATCATCTTGGCTTGAGGAGATCAGCACTGCTAGCCTCCTGTTGCCTTCTGTTGAGAAATCCCTTGATCAAGCCCACACAGCAGGAAGGGGCATGTTCCCTTGACCGCACAGAGCAGATTTCTACCAGTACTTAGTGAAGGAAAGCCTAAAACACAAAGTTGTCTTAACACCACGGGAGGTGTATAGGCAGTTTTAAAACTAGTTTTTGAGTTACACATATCTACAGTTCTCATTTGCCATGAGGTATCTGTATGAAAGCTGGTTAGTTAGCAAGTTTCTAACATGTTAGGTGTTGTCAAGCCAGGGCTGAGTCCAATTCAGTCCCAGTTCTTCCTCTCCCCCCCCCCCTTTTTTTGTATGTGGTTTGGTGCACGTTTTGTCGTGCATTCACTTGGAGCAAAGGCTGCACTTGCTGAGACCGACATTGGAAATTCCCTTTGTGCTTTGAGTTCTGTCTCTTCCCAAGCAAGAGAACTTGGTCTAACAGTACCAAAATCTTGTCAGTTTGGATTAGGTGTGAACATGTCCAATCTAAGACAGGGCAGAGAGAAGACCGGAATGCAGATTAACACTTGGTTCCCCATATCTAGCAAAGCTTACGTGACAAGCTCTTCCTATCACCCCCGTAACGGTACCTTTGTGGGCATGGGTTGTGGCTACTTGCAACATCGCACTTCTTCAGTAACCTGCCGCTTTCTCCCGACTTTTTGCATCAGCTCACAGAGCACTTGCCCTTTAGCAACCGCCAACCTTGCATTTGCCCAAACTGAGTAACTTCCCCTTCTGTCACATGACAAGCATGTGGTAGGGTTGGTGATATTTTTCTGGATGATTAAATTCTCCCCCTCCCCTGCTGATTTCCACAACCACTGCAAGCTATCAGGTTATTCACTGTGTAAGAATGTGACCAGCCTTAATTTCTCTCCCCCACCCCCAACTTCCCTTAGCATGCTGAGTTGATTTCCAAAGTACAAAGCGGTATAGGAACATGCATTTACTTGCTTTCTCAAGCCAGGGACAGTGGCATTTAGATTAGTGGTCTGTTACTTATGACTCACAGCCTGGAGTTCAAAAGCTTGCTCCCCTTCCCCTAGCATGCTCATCCTGATTCTTCATATTCATGCTTCTACCACAAAAGATCTAGATTTGCTATTTCGAACATGCCGCCTTGAAACCCACCTACTGTGGCGCCTACAGCAGGAGCAGCAGTGCTACAAAGAAATGTTTGGGCCAGTCAGTTCTGTTCTGTGCTGATTTGCTGTTATCGCAGCAGTAATGAGAATACAGAGTATAGGCCTAGGGCTGGGCATCGTCCTATAAGCCGTGGATGGCTTTGGGGCAAATTCATGAAGGATAAGGCTATCATTGGCTGCTACCAATAATGAAGGGCATGCTTTGCTTCCACAGACAGAGGCAGTAATGCTTCTGAATACCAGTTGCTGAAAATCACAAGGGGGGGAGACTGCTATTGCACTCAGGTGCTGCTTGCAAACTTCCGGCAGGCTGACCACTGTGAGAACAGGACGCTAGACTAGATGGGCCACTGGGCTGATCTGGCAAGTTCTTCCTGTGTTCTTACATTGAGCCTACTACAATAACAAATATCTTCAAGTTCTTATTATGGGGAGCAAAACTAATGAGCATGCCCTTCTTACTTTTTTTCCAGAATCCTGGCCCCCTGCCTCAATAGGGTTCTTAGTCATTGCCATGAATGAATGTTTAAAATCTGCCTTGACAGGTTTCTCCTTTTTAATTGGTAAGCCACTGGCAGTGGCGCAGGCTCAGAACCTCACACACGAGCAGCTCAGCAGAGTGTGGCAGCTTGGCATGCGTTTGATCAGGCCTCATCCCAGCGCCACAATGGCTTCCCCTTGCTGCGGGACGAGGGTTCACTGGGTTGAGCAAGCCAGCGACTGTTACTGACAGCCACCGCTTCTTGGGTAATTGCCTGGAGAGTCTGGCCCAGCGGGAAGTGGTCTATCCTTGTGCCCACAGGGGTCTAATTATTTTGCAAGTGACGAGTGAAGGGTTTAGGTACTGTAAATGGGAAGTTCTAAATAAGGCAAACCACAGAATTTTGGTTTCCCTGTCTTGGACAGTGAAAAGCAAAAACGAAAAAAAAGAAAAAAAGAAATGCAGTAGAATTAAACAACAAACCAGGATAAAAAGTGGAGCACAGAAATATAGGGTCGTATGTGGTATGTGGCGTGCTCTGGTCCATGGGGTCACAAAGAGTCGGACATGACTAAATGACTAAACAACAACAAATGTGGTATAGCGCTGTGTGAACAGTCATCAGTGCAAGGATTTCTGCTTGCAAAATGGAACATTCTCTTCCCCGCTCCCCTGGACTGTTCTAGGGGTTCTCCCAATCCTCTGGAGCAGGTTTGTGGAGAGGGCAAGGGAGGTGGGGAGGGGACAGAGGGGGCAAAGTCCTGTTGCACAAGTGGATATCTTTGTGCTGATGGGATATCACCCAGAACGTAAAATACAAATCATAGAAGCGGAATTAAGACATAAAAGCCAACAAGAATTAAAAACAGCAGAGATAAAAATAGGCTAATTTGGGAAGGACTGGGAGAAAAGAAAAAATTGTAATAAAGGCTGAGAACATCACAATGTTGGGACTTCCTTCACTTCTATGGGAAGAGAATTTCAGAGAACTGGTGCCACAGCACAAACAGCATGTGCCCATTTGTCATGTTTTATTTTGCTTTCTACTGCTAGTATTTTTGCTACTACTGCTTTCTTGTTTTATTTACCGTTTAATGTTTCAGTGTGTTGATAGCTTCAATCCTTGTTAATAATAATAATAATAATAATAATAATAATAATAATAATATTTTATTGTTTATATCCCACCCATCTGGCTGGGTTTCCCCAGCCACTCTGGGTGGCTTTCAGCAAAATATTTTAAAAAATAAAATGTCAGACATTAAAAACTTTCCTGAACAGGGCTGCCTTCAGATGTTTTCTAAAAGTTGTGTAATTCTTTATCTTCCTGACATCTGATGGGTGGGCGTTCCACAGCGATACTTTGAAGGTGCTCTAACAGAAGAGTGGGATTAAACTAGTAAGTGAGAGCCTAATCTTATTTTCTCTAATAATTTTTAGTGGGGGGGGGAAAGTGAGAAGTGGAGCAAGCGAGACAACCTGTTTATCAGACCTGTTGTGCTTTCCAACTCCATTGGGGAGGTTTTTTTTGTCAGGCTTAGGTGTTCATCTTGACCCAGGCATAACAGAGCACATGTGAAAACCATTTCCCAGGCAGAATCTTCTCTTAGATGCCTACCACCCAAGCATCTCAGTCACATACTACAACCAATCGGGTGCCTTCCAGCTGTTTGGACTACAGCCCCTGCCAGCACATGCTGGAGGTCACCAGGTTGGCAAAGGCTGACACTCTGTGTGTGTGTGTGTGTGTGTGTGTGCGCGCACACGTGCGTATTCATTCATTCATTCATGAGTGGCACTTTTTAAAACTTCCCCCTTTCCTTTCCAGCTGCAGAGGACAGGATTCTGAAGTCCAGTTGGCATGGAAAGTCCGGTCGAAGTCCACTTCAGGCTCTTTACCACGGTGATCAGGTGAGTGAACGTGAAAAGGGAAAGTGGAAGGGTGTGGAGGGAACCGGCAAGAGTTGGGGAGTGCTCATTGTGTGTCAAAGTCCAGGCAACACACAACTCCTGCTATGATGCAACTTCAATGTTACTGTCTGCAGAGGGAGATGTGCATTTCTTCTTCTTTTTCTTAGGACAACTTTGCACCCAGGCCACAGTTTTTTTGACCCATTTTATTCTGCCTCGTTGATAATCACAGAAAGGTGGTGGGCAGAGGAGGGAAATTATGAGTTTGGTGGTTTTGTGTATCTGGAAAGGGGACTGAGTTGCTCTCATGCGCTGGCCACCCTGCTTTCAAAGCACCCAGCAAGCTAATCAGGAGCAAGTCTTCCCAAAGGTTAGCTCCTCTGTGAGCATGTTGGCTTTTCTCTCTCTCCAAATAGTTTGCAGAAGTTAGAATCAGTGGCATCAAATGCTTCTGCTGCATAGCTCAGGCTCTTGGGCTGCAAGTATTCTGGGAGGCTTCTGGCAAATATATCTAGATCTAGAAAATTGGGTGGAGTTATTTCTCTCTTAGAGGTTAGACTCAATTGTCACTCCTGGGGATCTAACCTATCATCTTTTGCATGTTAGAAGCATGTGTTCTACTGCTGCACAATGGCTTTCCCCAAAGGTCCGCCCGCAGCTGTCCCTGCTGTTGCTCAGAGATTTGGTCTAGCAAATGATTTATCCCCATAGGTTTATACCCTACAAACAGTGGATGACTTAACCAATCCTATGTCTGGATTGTACCACTTTAGGTTGCAGGGGGAGGCATGCACGATTTAACAATGCCCTACACTTTTTTTAAAAAAGACCTAATTGCTGGTAACCTTTCCCACTGATGAGGCAGTTACCTATTTGTGGTGATTTTTTTTTTTTTTGTATGTTTGGAGGATCATTCATGGACATCGACCCCCACTAGCAGTTTGAAATGGTGCAGTCCAGGTAAAGGTTTTGCCACCTTATCCGATGCCCCTGACTGCTTGGCCACAGACTCCATTTAGCAGTGTGATTTATGCTAGGAGACTGATGCCTGGCAAGGGCAACCTAGGAACAAGGAAGATAGGAAACTCTCCGCAGTTCAGATACCACAGGATGTGTGTGTGGCTGTTGGAAATGGAGTTTGCCAGAATACATTTTATTTTCTCCTCGTAACCACCTACTCTTGCCTTCCTTTTGACAATTAATTTAATGGAAACAGGAGAAAATGAAAACCAGATAACTGCTCCCACGGCAGCGACGATGACTCCCCAGTGAACCCATATAGGAAACGGAACGGCTGCTTTTCAGTGTTATAACGTTTCTGCCTTAATGTCTCAACTGTGTTTTTAAAGAGGAGCCATTGCAAGCGCACAGCATTCTATAACTTTTAACCCTTGTGTTACACAAAAGCCGCCTGGCTCTTGAGAAACGGGGTGAGTAAATGGCCCCTGACGTAGTCAATAACCATAGCTTCCTATCTAAGATGTGCCCCAGCTCTGGGAGATGTGAGTTCAAATCCTGGGTCAGCTTATGAACATAAGAGTCCTGCTGAACCAGGCCAAAGGCCTCTCTCTAGTTCAGCATCCTGATTCCTGCAGAGGCTGGCCAGCGAGGTCTCTTGGGAAGCCCTCTAGCAGGACCAGGAGCAGCACTAGAAATAGTCCTCTCCCAGAAACTGGTATTGGGAATAATGCTGCCTTTGTTCCTGGAGTAGCCACTGGTAGTCTCATTCCCTGTGAGTCTGCTGTCTTTCTTTTCAAGTCACTGTGTCTGAGCATTGGTCTTACTCCCCACCTTGGAAGTGACCACAATCAGATCCAATTTTGCTGGATGGCCAAAACAATAAGGTGTGATGTGCCTGCTCCACCCATCTCTCTGTCTGGCATTAAAAGAGTGGGTTGGTGTGTTTTTTATGTTATCCCTCTTCCTTTTGAAGAGAGTGAACAAGTCTTATTTGGCCTGGCAGATGCCAACGGGTGAGTGAGAAATTGAGGCAGGCATGGTAGGTTGAGTAAGCAGGCTCCTGGGCTGTGATCTAACAGTGCCTGACAGCTGTCAGGAACCCTCAGAAGACAAATGTGAAGGAAGCAAAAGGTCTACCTACACGTTGCACAGCCCCTCCTAGGAAGAAAATGCTGTTGCTACGTAGTGGGAGCCTTACTTGAAAAGGTTTTGTGTTGTGTAGGCCAGATTGTGGTTTCAGAGCCATATGCTTTTTAGTAGAAGCTCCGTGCTTAAAGCTAGGAATGCTTTTCTGGGCGCAAGACAAGGAATCTGCTTAATTGTGTAACAAAATGCAGAATGCGCCCTGCGCAAATGTCCAAGATTTATCGCACGAACAGAGCTTTAAGCCCTCTGTGGGATGGCGTAGCTGATTCCCCCCTCCCCCAGAGAATATTTTGCGTACGGGGATCTTCAAAAGCAGGCCTTTGGCATGACACCAGAACTTGTGTGATGGTGGAAGGAGCAACCGAAGGAATAAATGCAACTGAACCCACAGCTGCAGTTCACGTGCCGAAACGAGAGCTTTCTGTCTTTAACAAAATAGGAAGGAGAGATAAATTGGTGTTGCCTTGTGTTTCCTTAAAAAAGGGGGGGTGGAGAGACACTGGTGGGCATAAGTGTAGAAGAAAGCAAGAGGAACACACATGCATACCTTCCAAGTCATGAATCCAGTTCTTGAACTTGTTCAGAGTAGCAAGCCCTGGGGCAGCACCATGACCTTGGAGTGGCCTGACCTGACCCCTTCCTAACAGATGGCTTGCACAGGAAAGAACCGCAATAAGGAGCAGGGAGGCTGGGATGTTTGAATAGCCCAAGGCAGTCTCCGCTCACGTCATCCTGTCCCAGAGTTAACTTTGCCCTGCCAAGAGCACTTGGCCAGGCCTTTCATGAAGGATCCTTTGATGCTCCCTTTTCCTTTGCCTTCAGACTGGGCACGTAACAGTGATGACGTGACACACTTTAACAGCACCTCCCTCCTCCTCCTGCAACTCTCTTGTACACAAAGCCAGGTTACATCTCCCCTTTCCAAATGCGCCGGCTGGCATTTTAAATCTTGTGACATTTAGTTATCACCCAAACAAATTAGCAGATGTACAGGGAGAGAATACAAACAAATGACACCCCCCTTTGTGATTCAGGTTGCTAAAAGCTCTGAAGGGGTCCTAAGGAGCTTCATATCATGTGGGCACATCTACATTACAAAGCTATATCAGGGTTGTGTTTGTTTGTTTTTTTTAAAAAATGGATGTATGCCCCACCTGTTAAAAAGCATATCTGTGTGTGTGTGTCTGTGTTTCTATAATCGTATCTAGACACACACACATTAAAAATATCTATAACAATAAAAACATTACAGTGCATATAGATAAAACAGCACAACTGTGAGGATTTATAAAAATGAGTTAGAATATGCAGACTTTTAAAAATATAGGCTATACCAGTTGACCTCCCAAATAATTCTGTGAATTGCTGTTAGGTGAGGGTGCTGCACATTCTTGGTGGCTACAGACTTCTCTGGGGTATAAATATGCCTTATGTGAATGCCTTTTTTCATTGCAGCAACATAGTTGAGGTAAAGGTAAAGGACCCCCGGATGGTTAAGTCCAGTCAAAGGTGACTGTGGGGTTGCGGTGCTCATCTTGCTTTCAGGCCAAGGGAGTCGGTGTTTGTCCACAGACAGCTTTCCGGGTCATGTGGCCAGCATGACTAAACCGCTTCTGGCACAGTGGAACACATGGAAATGCTGTTTACCTTCCCACCACAGCTTCACCTATTTATCTACTTGCACTGGTGTGCTTTCGAACTGCTAGGTGGGTCGAAGCTGGGACAGAGCAACGGGAGCTCACCCCGTCATGACGATTTGAACCGCCGACCTTCCAGTCAGCAAGCCCAAGAGGCTCAGTGGTATAGACCACAGCGCCACCATAGTTGAACCCCACCCCTAGATTTGTAGAGTTGGCAGAAACCCTGAGGATCATCTAGTCCAATGCCCTGCAATGCAGGAATAAACTGTCCCTCCTTCCTCCTCTTACTCTTTTGCCAACTCTGTTGCCAGCCAGAGAAGAGGTAGGTGCAGTGTTTTTTTGAAGGGAAGTTGTCCCAGTAGCAAGTGATCTCCTGACAACTGCCCTAGAAAGGCCTCCAGATTCTTTATCTTCTTGACACGTAGGTGTTTGTGGCCCTGAGCAGAGAAAAGGTTGGGATCTGACCAAATGCACTTTACCAGCCAAGTGTACAGTGATTCTTTCCACCTCCCTTCTTCTGTCTCCTCAGTTTGAGCAGTCCTCCTTGCAGGCAACGCACCAGCGCAGGCGGGACCTGCTGAACAAGGTGTGCAACCGTTACACGCGCAAGCGGCGCCTCCTCACTCCTGACGACTTGCGCCACCTGGTGGTTGACGATGTTCACGGGCTGCTGTACTGCTACGTCCCCAAGGTGGCTTGCACTAACTGGAAACGGGTCATGATGGTCTTGACCGGGCAGGGCAAGTACCAGGACCCGCTGGAAATCCCAGCCAACGAGGCGCATGTGGCTTCCAACCTGCACACTCTCTCTGAGTACAGCATCCCCGAAATCAACTACCGCCTGCGCAACTACCTCAAGTTCATCTTTGTGCGGGAGCCTCTGGAGCGGCTGGTCTCTGCCTACCGCAACAAGTTCACCCGCAGCTACAACACGGCATTCCACAAGCGCTACGGGACCAAGATAATCCGGCGGCATCGCCAGGACCCCAGCGACGAGGCCCTGGAGCACGGCCATGACGTGCGCTTCGAGGAGTTTGTGTACTACTTACTGGATCCGCAGACTCAGCGCGAAGAGCCTTTCAATGAGCACTGGGAGCGAGTGCACTCCCTCTGCCACCCCTGTATCATCCACTATGACGTGGTAGGCAAGTACGAGACATTGGCCAAGGACTCCAATTACATCCTGCGACTGGTTGGGGCTGACGCAGGCGTCAAGTTCCCCTCCTCCTCCAAGACCACCAGGACCAACGACGACATGACGGCTAAGTTCTTCCAGAACATCAGCCCCTTTTACCAAAGGAGGTTATTTAATTTATACAAAATGGATTACTTGCTCTTCAACTACTCCATCCCGACTTACTTGCGCACCCGATGAGGTGGTGACCAAGCACCCGGGCCTCCCTTTGCCTTTCCTGATTTCTGCTGTCAGCCAATGAACATAAGATAAGAGATAACCCTTCCTCTCTTGTTGTGATGGTCAATCCATTCGGACTCCAGTTTGTCAAAACTGCAGCCACTGTTCCTGTCTCTTCCTTTCCCTTATTTCAGTTAAAGAAATCTACTGTTGTTTGATTATCCTTCCTCAGCCAAAGAGAATTGTTTCCAGGAGAACACAGGAATTGTGGCCTCTTTTTTTTTGGTAAGGAGATTGGAGAATCAACCTGGAGCAATCAGAGAAGCAATAAAACATGATATGCATTTTATGTGTTGTTTAATATTCCCCCAAAGCCTTTCTCTCTCTCCTCGTAGATTGAAGAAGCAGGGGGTGTGAGCCAAAAGTGTCTTATTGTGAACAATGTCTTTAGTGTGAACTAGAATTTTTCTGTGAGACAAAGCCTTATTTCATGTCCCCTCCTCGCTCTTTCTCTCTCAACCAGTGTTGGATATGACTGAGCACTTACTGCACACAAAGCCCACCAAGTTATACTCCCAAGCAAATTCCATTTATATGAATAGACATTGCACTGGGGCAGTGCTGCTTCATATATTTTCCATTGGAGTAGGGTGGGGTATGCACACATATTCATGCATATGAATGGCCTGAACCAAAGCAGAAATGAATGCCTTTCTTCAATCCTTAAAAAAAAAAGTCAACCTGCAGTCATTGCATGAAGGAATTGCTGTGGCTTTCTTTATGTGCATCACTCAGGAGTAGCCAACGTGATACCTTCTATATATTGTGGATGATAACTCCCATCAGCCCCAATCAGCATGGCCAACAGCCAAGGATGATGGGAGTTGCAGTCCAAATCATCTGACAGTCACCAGATAGGCTACCCTTGGCCTAGCTCACCATGGGCCTAACCAACTTAAGCTCTAGAAACAGGTTCTTTAATCTGAAAAATGGGTGGAGATGGAGACAGAGTTGGGAACACCCTTGGTATTAGAAGGCTAGCAATGTTTCGTTTTACCAGTCTGAGGGGAAATGTACCTTGAATTAGAATTGAGCTTTTTGATCTGGTTCACACAACCCAGTAAGCCAAACTATGGCTTATGGGGGACTACATGGGCATCTGGGTTCCCAGAGAGCAGCTTGCCACTGCTTTGTTCTCCCACCCTCAGTCATTTTTGCTCCTGTATTGTGCTAAGCCAAGGTGCCTTCTGGACCAGAGCTTGTAGCTAAGTGATGTCTCACTCACTATGAGTTGTAACCAAGAGCAAGCCTTTGGTTTCTCATATTGTGTGAACCAGGCCTTTGTGCCCCACACCATTTACTGTCCCACCAGGTCTGACTCCATAGAAGGGATCCTGCTCACCCCACAGACCTCTCTTGGCAAGTGGAGCATGTAGAACATGCCTTGTAGGACTAGTCAGTTTCCTGCCCTTGCAGGTATCCATCTTTCTCTCATGCGATTTCCAGAGGAGGGAGATAATGTCCCTGGGAAGATGGCTGCCATCTTTTCTCTAGGAAAGCCTGCATCCTCTTTACCAATCATCATTCTTAGGAGGGAAAGAAGTGTATATTTTTAGCAGTGGCCTTCACCTCAGAGCTAGCCACTCTCTAAGCCTGAAACAAAGGAGAGGATGTAGGGCTGTAACTCTGAGGTGGGGCAGGCAGCATTCTGTATTTAGATGCTGAGCTGTGGGCTTCTAATTGCAGCTCCAGAATAAATGCAATCCCTGTGTGCCCTGTAAATTAGAGGTGTCTGGAATGTTCAGAGCAAAAGCTGGACTTTTGGAAGTGGGAAATAAAAACGCCCCTTCCCTTCCAAACCCCCGAACCATGCTTTTAAAAATGTTGCTTATGGTTCTTCACAACCCTTTTGTTCCACCCTCTCTTGCTCCTTCAGTGCCATTGTTTTCCTGCTTTCCCAGCCCCAATATGGGGATCACATATTGACCCCTATGAGGTCACAATGCCATATAGCCAATTGGATTTTACTAAACAGTGACATCATGACACATACTTGGAGTGGGAGCTGTGCTTCTTTTGCTGACCCTGAGAGAGGGCAGCTGCTTTCCCCTTTGTTTCCAGCCCTCCCAGGAAATTCAAACAGAAGAGGAGTACTTTCCCTAAGGGAAACACTTTTACAAAAGGCACTTCCCCTTCATGCCAACCTCACTACATATATTTATTTATTGCCTTATTAGGGTAATGTCTCGACTGTTTCCCCCCATAGAATAGGCATGGGCAACCTGTGTGCCTCCAGATGTTGTTGGGACTCCCATCAGCCCAAACCAGCACAGCCAATAGTCAGGAATAATGGGAACTGTAGTCCAATGATATCTGGAGGATCACAGGTTTTCATGCATGGCCTAGGACAAAAGTGTAACAAAGTGTGTGTGTTTGTGTGTGTGTGTGTGTGTGTGTGTGTGTCTTCATGTCTGTGTCCTTTAATTGGAAGAGGGGATTTCTCCTCCCAAGTGGTCCATCTCTGCTTGGCACTTTCCTCAGCTCCTTCCTTTTTTCTCCTACCTCTGATTCATACTCCACACATTCAAAAGCATTTTTAAACCTCCCAACTCTTGTACAGAGAAAATGAAAGGGCTGAATGCTGAAACTTGGAGCCTCCCCTGCCTTGGGGGATATGAGGCTCCCTCATTTGTGGTTTTGCAAGTTGTGCCTCAGCTGGGCCAAGGTGCCATTCTGAGTGAAGGGATGGTGGATTTGGAAAGAGTTGGCGCCCTTAAAATTCTCCTTATCAGCTGGATTTGGCTCAGGAAGAGTTTGGACAGAGAGCAGTGTTCATTGATTGGGGTGCCCTGCTCTGTACAAATCCTACACCCAGGAAGATTTGCCTTACATTAAGATTGGATTATATTAAGACTGAATGCACCGTTTGTCATAGACTGGTTTGCATATTGATCATTGCTTCCCGCCCCCACCCCCACCCCGAAAAGCTGCCTTCGTTTCATGGGCCAAGTCAATCCTCCAGCATATCCATTTTTATTTTGCTGCAAAGCACTTTGAAATCCCAAAGAACTTGAATGCACTCTAGAAGTGGGAAGGTAGGAAACCTTATTCAGTGATGACATGGGTTTTGGAGGGGAAGAACATGTTTAGAGTGGTAGACATATTGTCTAGATATGGACGAGAGAGAGAGAGAGAGAGAGAGAGAGAGAGAGAGAGAGAGAGAAATTTCACTTGTAAGCCATGGTCAGTCTGCCTAGCTTTGGAGCATTTGTACTTGAAGAGACAATCAGTTCAGTGCAAATGGACAGTTTTGCTTCAATAAAGCAGCATTTTTGTCTCTACCATGTTACCCTTGTCTTTGTCTTTGTACATAATGCATCATCTCTGTTAACTGTGCTGATAAAGAGGATGACTGTGCTGCAGGCCTGGATCTCGTGACTTGGGCAAAGCGATGGTCCATCTGGGGCTATCGAGATGACATGGACAGCCTCAGCCTGCCACAGCCAGCATGGCCAAATGGTCAGGAGAGCTGGGAGCTGCCATTTGCCAACATCTGGGCTATCCTTACTGTTCTGAGTGGGCTTGGGGTAAAGAGACTTGAGTAGCCATTTGGAATTGCTCCCCACAAACTGAATCGGGTTAGGCAATAGCCTAAAAGCGTGTTTCATATTATTAAAACCTGGTCATATATGCCCCTGTGACTTCTTTGTTTGTGTGCAAACTTTCCATACAAGAGTGCAAGCCTCTTGAGACTGGTTGCTCCTAGAATCAACATAGAGCTGTGGGGACACCTGGAGGCCGATTGGGTGAACTACAACCATTTAAACTGAATGCGATACTCTTCTTGCACCTTGACATGCATGCCGTTGTTTCTGTGGAGCAACTGCAGGTCTGTTATCTTCCACATTCTCCTGCTTTTTTAAATGTGTAATTCTGATGCCATTTCAAGTTAAGAAGCCCCAAAGCAGCAGGAGGGGAGGGTGCTGTTGTGCTCACGTCCTGCTTACATGATTCTGTAGGAACTTGGTTGGCCACTGTGAGAATTGGATGCTAGACTAGATGGGACCTCATCCAGCAGGCCCTTCTTGTGTTCTTTCTGCTTAGGAAATTGACTCAGAGGTGGTTATTGAGAGACTGCATGGCAACCAACTTGGGGAAGGGAACTTTATAGGGTGCTTGCTATATTTTCTTTTAAAAGAGAAGAATTTAGAAAGATACTGGCTCAGCACCATTGGGCCTTATGGCATAGACAATGGGTAGGGAATCTGTTATTGGACTTCGAACTCTCATGAGCTGAACAACATCTTGGGGGAGGAGGTACTGGTTTCCACTCCATGACATAGTTTTACTTTCAAAACAGCAGGTCTAGGCACTATTATATAACAGGGCAAGCCAATTAGAGTTCACGCCCTAAAACCTTCATTGTTCTGCTACCCCCTGAATTCTGGAATAGCAGGTAGAAATTGCATTTCCTTTTAGGAGCTTTTGTGTTCACAGAGCAAAACAAATTTTCAATCAAAGCAATTTACTGTAGGATGTCCCTCCCCACTTAAATATACCACAGTATGTTTTTTTGGGTAACAGAATGCGCAGGAGAGAACTGGCTAGCAAATATTTCAGTATGAACTTTGGACCAATGTTTCAGTATGAACTATGAGTTGACTCTGCCTGTCACTGGCTTGATCATTGCCTGTCACCGTTGATCTCCCATCCCATCCCTGACCCAATGGGCGCCAGCCACCACTGCTGGAAGGATCTGTGTGCCTTTAACAGGCGAGCGGCAGGCATCAATCCAACAGATGCAGCTTTCCTTCCCAGCATGGAGATGTGGTGACAGGAGCTGATGGATGAGCCTTGCAGCTGTGGTCCTAAAGAGAAGCATGTGTGGATCTGTTGGATGAAAAAATAAATGATTTGTTTCAGGTGGGGGGCGGGGGAGTCAGCTGGCTGTCCTACGAAAGCCTGCAATCTACCAAGAAGAAAAACTTGGTTTTGTCAGAAGTTCCACAGCTGCTGTGACCTGAAGCCTCATGTGGGTCTTTGAAGTTAATTAAGGGATCTGCTTCTACATGTTGGCTCTTCCTGGGTATGGCTGCCCTCCTGGTGCATCAGAGCAGATTGCAGAATTCATCCCCCACCCTTTCTGCCCACCCGCCTTGCTGTGCGTCATGGGCTGAGTGATGGCACTTGTCCTCTTTGTCTCCCGCATTTGGTGCAGAACCAGCGAGGCCATTTATCACCCCTCTTCTGCTGAAAAGTCTGAATAATCTTATGTGGATTCAATCTTTGTCAATTAGATTAGAGAACATTGCATAAAACGGATTTAAATCTGCTCTCTTCCCCGGTTGCATTAATCAATAAGCTGCCACCAAATGGCCACACTTTTCTCTCGCTCGCTCTGCGGCAGGATGTGTGCCTGCCCTACAAAGAGCTCTTGGAAAGGGGCCTTAATCATTTCTTTGCAACATAACGCCAAAGGTTTTGACTTGGTAATAAATCTTCGTTATCCCCCACAAAGTTTTTTATTTAAAAAACAACAACAACCCAACCCTGACCCAATTGCTGCAAGATGGAGAAAAGTCTGCAGGTCCAAGCTAACCCCCTTTTCGGAATAGTCTGTGTAGAAAGAAAATGTCTGGCTGTCATTTCCAAGGAGAGCAGGCCAGCTCCGGTTAGCACTACTTCCCATGCAAACCACAACTCTTCCCTGCAAAGGCCCATAGCTCAGTGATAGAGCATCTGCTTCACGTGCAGAAGGTCCCAGGTTCAATCCCCAGGTGGGGCTAGGAGGGTTCCTTGCCTCGGCCCCTAGAAAACTGCTGCCAGTCAGTGTAGACAGTTCTGAGGTAGATGGACCAATGATCTGACTCAGTATTGGGCAGTGGTACCTTGGGTTACAGACACTTCGGGTTACAAACTCCGCTAACCCAGAAGTAGTACCTTGGGTTAAGAACTTTGCCCCAGGTTGAGAACAGAAATTGCACTTTGAAGGGTAAAGTGGTACCTCAGGTTAAGAACAGTTTCAGGTTAAGAACGGACCTCTGGAATGAATTAAGTTCGTAACCCGAGGTACCACTGTATTACTTATACCCCGCCCATCTGGCCAGACCTCCCCAGCCACTCTGGGCAGCTCCCAACAGAATATAAAAAACACGATAAAACATCAAACTTTAAAAACTTCCATAAACTGCCTTCAGATCTGATGGGAGGGTGTTCCACCAGGCGGGCGCCACCACTGAGAAGGCCCTCTGCCTGGTTCCCTGTAACTTGGCTTCTCGTAGTGAGGGAACCACCAGAAGGCCCTCGGTGCTGGACCTCAGTGTCCGGGCTGAACGATGCAAGGCCACATTCTTTGGGTCACCTACAAGGCTGTCGCCTATGACGACAGTCACTGCATGTTGCCCTTTAAATCTTAAATCTTCCCCATTCCCTCCCTGGTTCTGTTGTCTTCTTCCTTCTCTCACCTGCTGTGGGATGCAGCTGGAGTTCTACTTGCTGCCGCCACAGGTGAGTGTGGGCTGGGTGATAGGAATGCAGCAGGAATAGATTGAAGGAGCCTCTGCTGCCCTTTCTCCTCCTGCATTTGGAAAGGAAAGGCTGGTGTTCAGGATACAAGAAGGCAGCCCTAGTGGCAAGAGGTGGTGCAATTATTTCCCATCGTAGCAGCAGAGACCCTGATTGAGTCAAAGTACCACACGGCTGGGGTTTCCCATCACACTTTCGAGTGGTAGAAGCCACTCGGGAATTTGTGGGTAGGCATAAACTATTGACAGAACCGTTAACTGGATTTAGCTTGGTGCTTCTGAGCTGTGTGGAAAGAAGATCTATAGCAGGGTATCCAGTGAATAGTCACTGTTGAAGAGAAGAAGAAGAAGAGTTTGGATTTGATATCCCGCCTTTCACTCCCTTTAAGGAGTCTCAAAGCGGCTAACAATCTCCTTTCCCTTCCTCCCCCACAACAAACACTCTGTGAGGTGAGTGGGGCTGAGAGGCTTCAGAGAAGTGTGACTAGCCCAAGGTCACCCAGCAGCTGCATGTGGAGGAGCGGAGACGCGAACCCGGTTCCCCAGATTACGTGACTACCGCTCTTAACCACTACACCACACTGGCTCTCTGTTGTGAGTTTGTTGGGCATAATTTGCTAAAAAGGTGCATTGACTGTACATGTGTGTGTGTGTGTTGACCCCGGACAGGTTTCAGTGTGCCACTGTGATCCATGGCTGAAATAGGTTACCTTACCTAATGCTGGATTCGTGCGTATGAGGTAAAAAAAAATATTTAAAAAATGCACCCTCATCAACAAGAATGCAACTCTGTTGACTCTATCTGATTGGCTCCTAGTGTTACATAGGGGGGAAATGGAGCTTCCTTTCATGCAAAATAAGCAACAGCTGAATTCTTTCTCTTGACTGTTGAATGCACTTCTTAAATCACTTAGAATGTTCATAAACAGCACCCCTGCCTGTTTGCTTAAAAAACATTGTGTTTGTGCCAGACCAGGAGTATGTTTGTTTGTGTGTGTGTGTGTGTGTGAAATGCCCAAATACCGAAGTCTCCTTTCAGAATTTGGTGTTAAATAACACAGCTTTGACTGTTTACCAGGTAGAGGGATGAGGCAAATACTGTGCTGGGGCACCCGGGGGATTTTTAAAGGAGGTTATTCAAATCTGACAGTGTTGACCTGTTGGCATTTTGCTTGCTCCGCGTTAGAGAACGTTTGTATCTGTCAAATTGTTGCTGCTGGAAAACTACTGGCTGATGCCTGCAGAGTGGCTCTCTGTGGTGGGGAATAAGAAGTGCATCTTTTGTCATTTGGGTAGCCCAGATTTTCGCAGTTAGGGGTGGGCACCACTCCAGGCTTTATCAGGAGAAACATTTCTGGCTACTTCCAGTTGTGGCTCCTATTAATGGTTCCATCCAGTGCTTTTTTCTGGGGGGATGCAGGGGTACACACACCCCTGAACATTTTGTGAATCTAACAGGAGAAGAAACTAATATTCTTTTTTTAAAAAATAGTTTCTTCTCTAGCACGGTGAATCGTCAGTTCTGCTGATACCCCTGATGGCAGCCTCATTTCCTATCATGGTGTTTCCTGAGTCTCAGACAGAAGCGAGCGTTTAATGTGTGAAGTAGGAGTTGGAATCTAGCACGGTGAATGGTCAGTTTTGTTGTTACCACCTCGGATAGCAGCTTCATTTCCTTTCCCAGTGTAATGCATGTTCTTTGTACTTTTGTCCATTTACTGTATTTATTTTTCCTAATTTGAACTATAAAATGGTGATTTTCTTGAGTCAAAATGAAAGTACTCCTAAACTTTTTTTTTATTTTTTAGAAAAAAGCAG